TGCATTCACTTTGCATGCTTCTCTTGGCACTGAAAACCATACGCTGCCTTTCTCGTGACCAAAGAAATGGGCCTTTTTCATTTTTCATTTTTATTGTTGTTGGGGATGGTGTCTCTTGTAGCTGTCTTGTGAGCTGTTGCTTTCAGCAGCTAAAAAGATCCAAGGGCTGCCTGAACTGAAGTCAGGGCATTAGGTGAAAAGATACAAGGAAGACAGCCTGGAGGGGCCAAGTATTTCTCCTAGAAGATAATGGGCAAATGATCTCCTTTGAAACAAAGGTTTTCAAATAGGGCCATGGATGTCTTCAAAGAGGGGAAAGATCAGTTATTTAGAAAGAGAACATAGCAGTGATAAAGGAGATTAGAGTTTTGTCCTAATTCTCCTAGTAGGGCTCTCAAGTGCCATTTTCCGGTACAAGGGTACGAAAAAGTGGAGAAATGCAGTGGCCAAAACAAATATTATTTGCAATGTTTATATTTTTCCCACATTGGGGGGAAATCCACTCCTGAGCACTATGCATTTAACTGATACTCCAAGAGGGAGTATCCCATCCTATCTCTTTGCAAAGCCTCATGTACTGTGATAGCAGATGATTTCTCTCGCCATGCCTTCCTTGTTCTTTCTGCTTCTGAATTTTTAAAGCCGAATCTGTTTTGTGTTTTCTTCTTGGCTTGTTCCACTCTCTGCAGCCAATCCAAAAGGGCAGATTGCTTTCATAGAGTATCTTTATGGATGCCGTTGCTTTAGTTGCTGTTTTTAACATGAATGTTGTTTGGTGCCTTTCTTGCATTCTGGTCTTCGATCTGGTGTGGAGTGCAAAGCTCTCCAGCTCCACCAAGTTCTAGGACTGTGTGCATGCTGTAGCAAGGAAATTCTTAATCTGTACTCCAAAACAGATTTACAAAGCCTATCTACCTATATACAGTGATATTCGCATGATCTGCATTTTGATGACTTCCAAACTACTTTGTACAGTAAGGAGAAAGATCGGTACAGAAACTGTGAGGAGATGATGCTCACAAAAATCACAAGAAATGAGATGGCCAGAAAAGACTTGTGCTGATTTCCAAATTATATGGCATGATTTTTCTTAGCTAGCATGGATAAATTTTTCAGATTTGCTACTGGGCTTTCCACATACGTAAAACTAAAGCATTTTAACTTTTTTCCCCCTCACTGATAAATCACGGCTTGCAAATTTGCAACACTGTGCCATTTTACAATGCCACTTTGGCAGGGATGGCAGCTGAGTTGAATTCCTCTTTTAAAAAAAGAAAACCAACTATTTTTATCCCAGTCATCCAACCATTCTCCTCTGGTGGGGAAAATGTGTGTGCAGCCTGCTCCTGGCATGACTTAGCAGCTGCATTGGGGTTGGTTTTATGGAAGTTTGTTTTTTGTGGTCTTGTTATGAAAAGGAACATAACTGTGTGTTATGTTTTAGATGGTTTTTTAAAGATCATGCTTGTAGCCCTTGGAAGCCAAATCCCAGTAAGACGCCTGATAGTAGAAGTTGAATTCTTCTCCTGTTCTGGGTCTTACAATGTGGAGCTGGTGGGCGGATCTGGAAAGCAAGAAAAGGTGGGACTTTTCCCAAAGCATCTCCTTGGCTCTGCTACCTTGATGTTCCACAGTCTGTTCCACTGAGCAGATTGTGTCCCAATTACCCCCCCACACACACACTCCATCAAATTCCCAATCGCTCTCCATGCATTTCTTCTATTCACACACCGTTGCCTCTCATCTCTGGGAAAAAACAATAACCGCTCTTTGTAATTTATAAATAGATTTTTTTAAATTGCTTATATCTCTTTGTACAATCATAGCGAATGTATCGGACACAACAAATACACCTCTCCACTGGATCTGGTGGTGCCGCCCCCCACAGGTTTGCTGGCAGTGTCTGCTTGTTGGGGGTTGAATCGCCCACTGCCTTCCATGCCAAATCAAGCTTGCCGTCTTCTTCAAGCAAGCTTTACCATGCAAGCGTATTGCTGGTTCTTTGTGCCTCTCATTAGCCACTGCTGTAATTTGTTGTAGCAAATAAACAAAAAGAGGAAAACGTGATTGTGCTTCATAAGGCTTTATTTAACTCCCTCTGCCTCCAAAGGGGTGAAAAGAAGGAAGCTGAAGAATTAAGACATCATTTTGAGCCTTTCAACTTTCAAAACGCTTTGCCGACATTTGAATTCTTGCCTCATGTTTGGGCAATGTGGTTCAAAGAAGAAGGCAAAATACATTTACAGGTATTTTCATCTAATGGTTGGGTTGCTTCCTGCACTATGTTCCTCACACTTTATGATGTGGGTGAAGAAGCCGGGTGATGGTCCAGCTTTGGGCTATGAGGCAATTTACATATGGCAAGTTCCTAATATTTTAGTGTCTCTGACTGCAGTTTATGTGCCCAACAGACTAAATGCCCTATCTTGGATTAATTACAGTAATTGCTGATTGCCATTCCCAATGTTTTTTAAATGGGCACAAAAGCACACTTTTCTACTATAAAAAGGCCTGTTTAGAAGCATGATACAAGGCCCAACATCTGCATAATGGCACACAATTGCCTTCTCTCACTGCCACTACAGGTGGAGGTTATTCAAGGAACAGCTGAAACCTGAACATGGGCAGGATATTGTTAGATAGCTTAACTCTTATTGCCATTGCTCTTATTATCCAACCCCACTGCATAAGCTTTTTTAAAAAAATCTTCAGAAAAATATTTATTGGAAAAGCTGATATTGTGAGGAGAAGTCCATCTAGACTGACATGTGCCAATTGTTCAATTTTATTGCAGAGCAACAGCTGATTGTATGGCAAAAATAAGATGATGCTAGTCTGAAAAAAAGTTAAAACAATACTACATTTTTAAAAAATTGGCTATTGAGCTATGCCCTTATTAATAAGGAAAAATGGCATTAAAATCATTTGTATTTGCATTGTTGAAAGCCCATTCTGAACTTCTTGTATCAGAGAGTTGAGATATGGACAACATTGTTTAATGAATTATTATATTGTGGTACCCCCACTTTGATCCAAAATTAGGAAATTTAAATAATGTTTGAAGTTTGCAGGATCTGAATTCCAGAAGTAGGAACACATTTTACTATTTAAAATTTCTTACTACCCTACATCAGCTCTACCCAATTAGCTCCTTAGTGAAAAGTCTGTCTTATCTGACAAGTGTTGGACAAGAAAGATTTTGCTTTTTGAACCCTTTTGGGTATATCTTGCAGATTTTTGACTGCTAATCACAAGAATAACCTGTAATTGAACCTATCATGGACAGTTTTTATATAAATATTCAGTTTTTACACAATGGCAGTGTACAACATCCAGTACACCAAGTACAACTGGATTATCTGTGGAGCAACTGGAAACCCTCAATGTTGGTTGAGTAATGTTGGATACTGCAGTGAGATGCATCAGGCACCAAGTACAAAAATCAGTAGTAAAATACTTTTGGCCCTGTTGAATTCATGCAGCATGTCAGAAACATGCAATTAAATATCTTATAGTCATTAAAAGTTAATTCCATATTTCTCAATATTTCCACATGATACATTTCATTCTGAAATATTTGTGTTCAGTTCGAAGAGGGCTATCGTCATCGCCAAAAGTTTTTCAGGAAGCAAAATTTATGAAAAAAATGATTGTCCATCAGAAACTGCATGGCACACATTTCACTTCCTGAGATTGCCTGTTCACTTTCCCCTGCTCGTTAATCTTACTCATTAGTCATTTTGATACATTAATGCTCAGTGCATTGCATGAAACCGAGTACACGAGAGCTTATGACAGGCACATCTTTCAGCTCTCATTACTCTGAAAACATCAGCATTCACTGATGCTGGGATTATCTATCCCAACATAAAGGAAATGCCTGCATGTATTTGACAGAGTTTAAAATAGTGTAATTTCTCTTGAGAACAGTATGTCTATGGCTTAGCTAGCTGGAACTGCTGCAATTTCTTTGATGTGTACAGATAATGTATGCATTTTGTTCTGCAGCTGGCATGGTGTCAAAGCAGGTGCCTTATTTTCTATTCTGTAAGGAAAGAGAACATGTGCCCTTTAACAGGAGATGCCATCTCTCCACCCCACCGCCCAATTTCTACTTAATAACCTTGCCAGAATAATCCCCACCCCTTTCCATGTCTACCCTGAAGGTCATCTTCTCCCAAACTGGCATCCCAAACTTAGCTAGCTTGATGTCAATACTTGGAAGCAAGTTCAGTTTCTAGTTCTGAGATCCAACCTTGAGTTCTGACCTCGAGTTCTCTGCATCTCTTCTTACTGATGGTACATCTCGCAAATAGAACAAACTCAAGAAGAATCTGCAACCATTCTGCAACATGACCTCTAGATAAGAGGAGTCAGTGTTGTTGATGCTTGCTTATCAAGGGTAAGACTTAGAACCATTAGTTTAGCGATGATTCGAAGTTATAGCAGCAGTGACCTCTGGCCGATCCTCACACTTAAAACCACTGCAGCATCCGCAGAGTCATGTGATCAAAATTCAGATAGCAATAGGACTTAGACTTATATACTGGTCCATAGTGATTTTCAGCACTCTGAACAGTTTACAGAGTCAGCATATTGGCCCCAACAATCTAGAATAGATCCTTATTTTACCGACCTCGGAAAGACGGAAGGCTGAATCAACCTTGAGCGAGTCAACCTTGAGCTGTCAGGATCAAACTCCTGGCTATGAGCAGAGTTAGCCTACAGTACTACATTCTAATCATTGAGCCACCACGGGTGAAATGCTTTGCAGCTGCCATGTATTTAAGATGGTTGCTGTGTCCCACAGTCACATGATTTCTATTTGCAACCTTTTCAGCTGGTTTCCAGCACGCAAAGTCAATGGGAAAAGACAGATTTGCTTAACAACTCTGCGATTCACATAGGTGATTTGCTTAACAATGATTTATTTATTTATTTATTTTATTTCCAATTTATATACCGCCCTTCTCCCTGAGGGCGGTGTACAGCCAGAATTAAGAACATAAAATACAAATATTAAAAAACAGTTAAAATATGTATAAATTTGGCCCAAAAATTAAAAATCACAAACCAATTAAAAACATTTAAAAATTTATTCTTAAGCCAGCCCGGCTTGCTGAAAAAAGTGAGTTTTAAGGGCACGGCGGAAGGCACTAAGGTCATGGATTCTCCTTATCTCTGGGGGCAACTGATTCCAGAGGGTAGGTGCCCCCACAGAGAAGGCCCTCCCCCTGGGGATCACCAGCCTACATTGTTTGGCTGATGGCACCCCGAGGAGGCCCTCTCTGTGGGAGCGCACGGGTCGATGGGAGGTCGTCGGTAGCAGCAGGCGGTCTCGAAGATAGCTAGGCCCTATGCTTTAATACCTTGTTTAGCCACATAACTTCTGATCCCAACAGCGGTCGTAAGGATGACCTGCATAGGATTTGTTTGCATTAATAGTACCTATGTGAATATATAATCCCTGCAATAACTAGCAGGTTGTATGCATAGATAGGGAGCTGGTAGTTTTCCAGACGTTGCTTAATTGCAACACAGCCAATTCAGCCATCCTAACCAAGGATGAGGGACGCTATGAGCAGCAGCTCAGTGACATCTGGAGAGGTAAGTCCCTGTGTAGGATATATCATATTGAGGAAAGGGGGAATGTGCAGGAATTGACTTGTTTGTGGTTTCTAGTACATCTGCTGGGAGGCATGATGGAAGTTGCCTTCTACCCTGTTGCCAGATGCATCTGTAAAAGGAAATAATCGCCAGTCACTCTTCTGCTGTCTTTCATCAGACTGACAGATGTTTGCATCGCTTTCTCCCTCACCTGTCAAATACTGCCAAGAATCCATGGAAGTCCATAACAAAATAATAATCCGTTTGTTTAAACAAGAAAAGCTGAGAGATGGCCTAAATCTCCTTTAATAAGCGGTGAAATAGAAAGCAGTAGAGAATGTGGAAGAGGCCCTTCTGACAGGACAAGTGGGGTCATCCATTAAATCCTCCTCCTAGCTCTCAGCTGTCCAGTCTTGTTAGCTTAGATGGCTGAGTGATGTGTTTGGAGCAGGCATCTGAACACCGCAAAAGGGTTCATTAGCGATTCCTTGTGACTGGGACCTAGAGCAGGCAATTTGTGGCTTCATTTAACCTTGCGGTGAGTAACCTGTGACTCTTAAGGCTGAGGGCCCGTTTTGACAGTCCTTGGGATCCGTTCCAAGTATGACCGCTGAAAACCTACAGCACACTTCATTAGCACTGGACCACTAAAAAGTCCTAATTGAAAAACAATCAAGTTACCAACAGCAGCTTCTGCTATAAATAAGTCTTTTTTAAAAAAAAAAACTTAGCAGGGAAGGAAGCCCATAAGGCTTGCGTAATGTACCTAACAAAATTCATCATTCTGCCTATTAACTATCTGAATTCACTATCACATTAACCCAGCTTTCCCCAGTCTCACATCTTCCAATTATGCTTAGAGTTCCATTTATATAATCCCAAATTAGCCTAATATATCTTGAAGATGCAGAAACTGGAAAGGCTAGCATTACTGGGAGGAGGAGGAGGAGGAGGAGGAGGAGGAGGAGGAGGAGGAGGAGGAACAACTCTACAGGTACAGCCTTCTTTGGGCCACAGAGTATAATTGACCTAGGAGCAATGTGATCCCTTTCCTGAAGTGAGGATGGACCCAAAACATTAGATCAAAAATTCAGTTCAATTGAAATGTAAATTTAACATATTAAGTATAATAAGGTCAAGGAAGCTTCTCTTTCCTTTATTTTATTCCATAATCAGCAATCCTTTGAGGAAATCTGGCCTCAGAAAAAAAGTGACTAGCCCAAATTCATCCAGGCTATCAATCTGAACACTGATGTCCCCAAATCTAGACCAACACCTTAACCCAGGAGTGGGCAACTGTGGCCTTTTTACAACCTATGGACTTCAACTCCCAGAATTCCTGATACAGCCAAGCTGGCTCAGGAATTCTGGGAATTGAAGTCCACAGGTTGTAAAAGGGCCACAGTTGCCCACCCCTACCTTAACCCCTACACCCCACTGGCTCTTTAGCCTCTGCATATTCTGAATTCTCCATTCTTTTCAGGTTCTCCACCTAGGCTAATATTTGCATGCAAATATTCCTGCATGTCATGATTAGGCTGCCCAAAAAAAAAAAAAAAAAAAAGTCACGTGATTAGCTTGGGTAGAATATTCATTATACGTTTGTGCCAAAGTATCCAAATTTCCACCCAAGTCCAACAAGTGTTCTTTTCTTCACTTCTGTCCCTGAATTTGCAGAACAGAGAACACGATGCTAACGGGGCTAATCAGGGAACAAGGATTGTAAAATGTTTTCCAGCTAAGTACTATATGTTGCTACTGTATCCCACCCACCTCTGTTTCATGATAAAAGAGCAGCCATGATTTTGACGCCAAGACAGAAGGCTGGGGGCAGAAGGGGAGCCCAGTACAAGAATAACGCAGCATCCTTCTTGAATAATTAAGCTCCTCACTCTCTGCGATTGGGACAGAAGCAATCATTTATTTAGAATATCAAGTAATCCATCCCATCTGCATTTAAGTAGAACCCCCCCCCCTCACCCACCCACCCCCACCTCACTGCTGTTTGCCTTCTGCTAGCCAGTATGGCTGGTGCAGAGAGCCAGAGGTTTTTGCTGAGTGAGTTGGCTGGCTGGCTGGCTGGCTGGGTGCCATGGCCACGCAGACAGAGCCAAGGCCTGGCTGCTCAGAGAGGATGCTTAGCTGTAGCAAAGCTCTTTGGAGATTGTTCCGTCTTGAATGAAGGGAGGACCCAGCATTGCTGAAGGGGACTGAGCTTCCCATTTTTAGATGCATTCCCACTCCGTATGCAGCAATTCCTCTCTGGCTGACATCATTGTATCGACAGGGCTATTTAAGCTGACCCAGGACAGAAAGAGTGTGAGCTTTGAAAGGACCTCACCTACAAGTGCTGTTTCTGCTGCTGGCTGTGCCTCCCCTCTGCTCTCGCAAGGAGACCCTCAAGCAGCATGGCCCCCAAGAAGGACTTCCCTGTGAAGCGGCCGGTAGCCCCACCTGCCAAACCAGCAGCTAAACCAGCCGGGCCAAAGCCAGGATTCCTGGCAGGTAAAAGCAAAGTGCCAGAAACAGCACCGGCACCGGCACCAACAGCACCGGCACCAGAGAAGCCCAAGGAGCCGCCCATCGACCTTTCCAAAGTGGTGGTAAGTGAGGCCTGGAGGAAGAGTGAAGTTGCAGGGAACCCATTTCTTCCCAAAGGAAGGAGGACGCAACAGCCACCATCTTTAGGTTCTTTTCTCTCCCTCAAAAGCAATGCCTCAAGGTCGCTATAAGCGTTTAAACTGAGGGATGTACCACCTCGGAACTAGGCATGGGAAAAATAAACACACTAATAATTGGCTTCAAATATGAAGTATAGAGAGACTTCATTTAGTGGCCCCAATTGGGACAGGCAACTTGGTCATTAAACAAAGTGGTCGCTAAAGTGAAACCGCAGCTATGCTTATTATTTTACTTATATGGGTACAATGGCATAACTGTTTGCTTCTCAAGGCATCTGGATTCTCAAGGCATTAGAAAGAGAAGAGAATGCTGAACTGATCTTTAACTTGAGCTGAACACCCAAATAAATTGAATGAAACGTACAAATAGTAAAAGTAATTATGTATACCTATCTGTAGAAACAAGGACTGCTCTCTCTCTCTTTTTTTTTTTTTTGATGCAAGATATATACAAATTCCTGTTTAATTTTTGTCTGTATGTATACATAAAATGACAAAGAATGGCTATTAAAAATTCTAAAACAAGTTCAGGAACAAATTATTATACCTTCAATTGCACATAAGAACCTGGATGTTCCTTCTGGTCTCAGGCTACCACAGTTTTACTATATATAACAGTTTTACTATATATATGTTAGGTTTGATTTGAAAATTATTTTAACATACAAACCTTATTTCTTGGTCTCTATGTTGGACTAAATGCTAACCATGATAGCTTTCTGAGTTTAGGCATTTGGGAGTTCCTCACCTACTTTCAAGCAACGACAGGCATTTTACGGATAGCACAAAGAAATAGATTAACTTCCATTGTTGACTGCTTTCTGCAAACAAATCACAACAGGGTTTTTTTGGGTGGGTGGGGGAGATGTTTAGTATGTTTAGAAAAGTTAAATGTTTTTGCTGCCAGGTATTATGATGCTCTAAATTTAGGCATGCTGTAATCCCATTGTAGCAATTTAGTTTTAATTATAGTTCTATTCATTTGGGGGTGCACTATGGATGCTTCATTCTATATGGACTATCATTATGGCAGTATGCAAAACTGAACAAGAAATAAGTAAAGTCATTTCTCTATCATAACAAGACCTCTGTTCTCAGACAACGATGATTGGGAATGCTGGCTAGCTAAGGTTAGCGGGAGAGAGAGGTGAGATAAATTTAGCAATTGAAAAGGCTCTTGTTATTTTAAAGGACAGGTCCAAACAGCAGACGCACAAGTCTGGTATTTGGCCTGCGTGCTTAGGAAGCCAGGACAGAGACAGGTGGCTACCAGCAGGGAGGAGGCTTAGCATAAGAGTGCAGTTATTTCAATCCTACCTCTACTTTCTGAAAGCGGCAGATCAAGTTGCGAGAGGACCAGAGTGTTCAATCAACAGTCATGTCCTTGTCATGCTTCAGGATTCCCAAAACAGTGAGGTAGGAGTTCCAATTAGGATACCGAACCTAGACCAAATGCAAAGATGTACTTCAATGAGTAGCTACAGCAGTGTTTTTCAACCTTAGCACCTTTAAACTGTGTGGGCTCCAACTGTGTGGGCTCTTAAGATCAGGCAGAAGGTATTTTCTAGATCAGTGTTTCTCAACTGTGGTCATTCTAAACTGTGTGAACTTCAAGTCCCAGAATTCCCCAGCCAGCAATGCTGGCCGGGGAATTCTGGGAGTTGAAGTCCACACATCTTAAAGTTGCCCAAGTTGAGAAACTTGGTATGTCCTCAGAGATTACCAGGCTCAGGGCCTCTTCAGCCCCAACATATCATGGCAGGTTTGTATTGCTCATTGGCCTACAAATCATTCAAATGTTCCAAGTAAAATTTTCAGCTAGATATACTGTTATAGTGCAAATAGATTGTTGTAGGAATGCAAATGCACAATAATAATGTGCCCATTAATACATATAGCACCGCCAGGGGTGAAATCCAGCAGGTTCTGTCAGGTTCTGGAGAACCGGCAGCGGAAATTTTGAGCAGTTCGGAGAACCTGCAAATGCCACCTCTGGCTGGTCCCAGAGTGAGGTGGGAATCGAGATTTTGCAGTATCCTTCCCCTGCCACGCCCACCAAGCCACACCCACCAAGCCACATCCACAGAATTGGTAGTAAAACAATTTGGATTTCACCACTGAGCACAGCTAAACATTCAAAGCCTTTCATACCTTGGTTAATTAGGCCATCCCTACGGTGCTTTGAGAATTTTTCTTTTGGGTCAATTTATTGGTGGGGATGAAAACACAAGGGAGGAAGAGCAACTTAGCCTGCTTCACACCCTGTGGCAGAAGGGCTGAAAGGATTCACCTCATAAATTCTCCTTTGCTCTCTGACTGCAGTGGGACCATTGTAAAAGGGCTTCCTAGAACAACATCAGCTACTCTGGAAAACACCTACCTACATGGCACCACTTCGTTCTCGTGCTCTGACATGCATTCATATTTATCCTACAGAACCTATAGAACCTATAGGAGGTTTAGGGCTGGAGGGAGGGAAATTGGTTCGTTATCAGAGCAGTCTATCCAGGACAGAGACCCATTTTATAATCAAGTCAACCTTGACTTGGGCCCAAACCCATGCACATTAACAGATACACTGCATAGTGTTGGTAAATGTAGCCTCAATCTGGAGGAAATAATTCACCAGGTTGTAGGGAGGGAAACAAACAGTTAATTATTTTTATTTACTATATTTTATTTACTAGATTTTTAAAATCCTGCTGTTATTATTTTTATAAATTATTGAAGGCAATCAACATATCTAATACCCTTTCCTTCTCCTATTTTCCACACAACAACCCTGTGAGGTGACGTGGGCTGAGAAAAAGGGACTGGCTCAAAGTCATCCAGCCAGTTGTCATGCCTAAAGTGACACTAGAGTTCAGAGTTTCCTGATTTCTAGCCTGGTATCTTAACCACTAGACCAAAAAGGCTCTCAACTTGTGCTTACAGTCAAGTAGAGTAAGACTTATAAACAGGTACATAAAAATAATAAAGTTGGAGGATTACGCAATTTAATGCATAACATATGACATCATACAGTACTTTTTCAGTAAAATAGTGAGATGCCCTATTTTTTTAAAAGAATCCTCAATACTTGTTGTTCGGTGTCTTCAGAACTAAGAGCTTAAATTTAAAAAAATAAGATGCTTGCTCTGATGAGCAGAGTTTATTTATTTTAAAGAGGCAGCAAATGAAATATATCCTCTAACTAAGCCTTAAAAAATTGTCCTCCTTCTATGCAACTACTGGTCAGTTTAGAATAAATGAGCCAAGGTGAAAAACTTAAATCTCTCTCTCTCACACACACACACTCTGTCACAAGTTCCCCATTAAAGTTTAATTTGAATTTTGGATTCTGGAACCTCAATAATTACCTAAAGAATAATGTCAGTTCTAAAGCTTGCTTTTAAAACAATACACTTCATTAACGGAAATGTTGATGAACATGGAAGCATCTTGACCAGTTCGATTTTTTTTACCGCATAAGGATTTCTGCTTGTTCTGGTAAATGACATAATTTCCTACCTTTTTATTCTTTCTAGATTGAGTTCACCAAAGAGCAGTTGGAAGGTGAGTTGCTTCCATGTCACTGGCTACCAAGAGACTTGGATTTCTTTTACCATTTATTTATGGGTAAACAAACAAACATAAGCAATTGTGCAAGCAATCATTAGTATAATACAACAGACAACTTCTATTTGTTTTTCCACTGTAATAAAATGACCACTTAGACTTGATTCCTAAGATTATAAACAGATGTTAAGAGAAATGATGTTAGGAAAGGGGTAGCCTTGTATCTGTATCAAATATCTTGTTTATCCCATCCCATCAACGTATTTCCACCATTCTGTCTGATTTAATCAGATCCAGGCAGATCTGAATTCTGTCGCAAAGTCAGGTATAGTTCAGAAGAGATTGGATTCATGTTTTATTCCTGTTGGTTGGATCCAATGCAGCCAGATGTAATGGAATGTGTAAATGACCTTGGGGAAAGAGAGGAATAGATGCTGTCTGGGTAACAATCAGATCAGACAAGAGAGTTAGGAGCCTAAATGGCTTAACAATCAGAAAAAAAAAATAACTTAGGAATGACTTGCAGTTAAAACTGGCAGCAGGAAGTTTGTACTTGCAAGATATTCATGAGCGGGCTGCTGGGGATTCGCAGGGGTCCGGGAGAACCTCTAGCTAAGATTCTGTGCAGTTGAGAGAACCCCCAAATCCCACTCCTGCCTGGCCCCATCCACCCTGCCCCTCCCAGGAGTCCCCACGTGGCCTGTTTTGGATGCAGGTAAGTGCAGGCTGTACGCGGAGGCTCGGGGAGGACGAAAAACGGGCGTACCGGAAGTTCGGCCTCTGGAGCCTGTGGAGGCCGTTTTCACCCTCCTGGAGGCTTGAGGAAAGCCTCCGGAGCCCGGGGAGGGCAAAAATGCCCCCCTCCCCACTGTGGTGCAAGAGGCCAACTAGGCCGCGCCCACCATGGCCACATCCACCCAGCAACCAGGCAGAGAACCCCTTGCTAAATTTTTTGAAGCCCACCCCTGAACATATTAACATAGTCTTACAATAAAGACAGACTACTTTATTTATACGTAAGATATAAATACCTTTCAGCCCTACAAAAAAGACCAGACTAAAAACCAAGACCGTATACAGTAGATCAATATTAGATTTATTATGACAGAGTCTTGCAAGTCTTCCTGTATTCATTGTTCTTCCCCTTTCTTATCTTTGTGTGAAGAAAAAAATAAATCAAGAAGTCTTCTTGCAATAAACATCTCGGGCTTTAGGATGCTGTAAGACGACAGGTAGTCTTTGACTTATGACCACAATTGAGCCCAAAATTTCCATCATGAAGTGAGACATTTGTTAAGTGAATTTTGCCGCATTTTACCACCTTTCTTGCTGTAGTTGTTAAGTGAACCACTGCAGATGTGAAGTTAGTAATAAACGTAAAGGTAAAGGTTCCCCTTGCACATATGTGCTAGTCGTTCCCGACTCTTGGGGGTGGTGCTCATCTCCGTTTCAAAGCTGAAGAGCCAGTGCTGTCCGAAGACGTCTCCGTGGTCATGTGGCTGGCATGACTAAATGCCAAAGGCACACGGAACGCTGTTACCTTCCCACCAAAGGTGGTCCCTATTTTTCTACTTGCATTTTTTACGTGCTTTCAAACTGCTAGGTTGGCAGAAGCTGGGACAAGTAACGGGAGCTCACCTCATTACGCAGCACTAGGGATTTGAACCGCTGAACTGCCGCCTTAGCCACTGAGCCACCACGTCCCTTGAAGTTAGTAATATAGAGTTAGTAATAAAGAGAATCTGGCTTCCCCATTGATCTTGCTTGTCAGAAGGTCGCCAGGACACCGCAACTATCATAAATATGAGTCAGTTGCCAAACTTCTGAATTTTGTTCATGTGACTGTGGGGATGTTGCAACGGTTGAAAAATGGTTATAAATCGCCTTTTTTTAGTGCCGTTGTAACTTTGAACAGTCACTAAATGAACTGTTGTAAATTGAGGACTACCTGTATGACTCCCTTTGAATTTTTTTCTTGTCTCTCCTAAATATGAGAGTACTTTCAAATGACAGTACATCTTTACTAAGGAGTCTGACTTGCTTGGCGGGCTCATCCTCGCATCCTTCAAACTATACCACCAGCAGCAAATCCTCACAATGTTGTGAACCGTGACACAATGGTCTGCCACGGCAACAAATCCTCATCAGGCTACCATTGTCACATCTCCAACCTACCATGAAGGTAGCTTAAATTCATCTTTAGCTGGTTGAGTTTTAAAGCAATGTTTTCTTCCTATGATGTATGAATGTCACATGACGCCTCACTGATGTCATGTAATGACCCCATCAGAGGCTCAGATCTGCCCAGCTTCACCCACCCCATTCCTCCCGTCAGTTGCCGAGTTCTGCCTTCATAGCCATTTGGTTTCTATTACTGGAGAGACCTAATGATCTGGCTCCCACAGCTGTGTTTCTCCATGGAGAAATGCCCTGGAGAAGCATTATGCTGGCTCTTAACAGCCATAGGCTTAATGCACTTTTGGAAGAATTTGTAAACATGTGTCACTTAGACAATCTGTCACCATGGGCCCGAGCCTGTCCAACCCTACCCTCAACACATGTTAAGGACAGGGAGAGTTCTGGCTGCTTTTCCCATTGGCAGGTGACACTGAATGGGACTCAGCAAAATTACCCCACATTAAAATTGCAAAAGACAGAAACAGTCACCTATGTTGCTAACAAAAGCAGAAGAAATCAGCTGGGATTAGGCAAACAATGCCACACACTTTTTGGCCAATTTGGACAAGGAAAGGAATCCTCATTAACGTAGCCAGGAGGAAAAGCCCTTTTAATTATTCTTAGAACTGAAATGTTGCTATAAAATTGAAGGCCTGCTTAATTAGCTCAATTGTTAGAGGGAGTGTTAGGTATTGTATAACATCTGAACTTGGCTCTCTACCTGAAGAGCAATGTCTGATTGCTCTAACAGGGTGAAACGGAAAGGATCAATTCGCCAATAACGAAATCCCAGAACCAAGGCGATGATGCCCCTTTGAAAGATCATTGAGATCTTCTGTATATTAAAAGAGTAGCCAAACCCTTCCAGATCACCATCTTCATCTCTCTATGGTAAATGTATCCCAAACAGAGGTTGACGTTAGAGAGGAAGCCTCCTTCTAATTGATTAATTGACTATGATTGACAGAAACTGGGCAGGCAGATGTTGCAGACGGCAGTGTCCAGTTTCTTGGGATTACATCTGAATCCTCTAGTTGACACTGGCAGAAGGACAAGCTTCACACTTTATCTCCCATCAAACTCCAGCCCCCCTGCAGCTCTCCATTTCAGAGGCCACATATCAAACTATATAAAAATTTGATCTGATCTCTCTAGATTACAAGGAGGCCTTTGGGCTCTTTGATCGGGTCGGCGATGGTAAAATCCAGTTGAGCCAGTGTGGAGATGTGATGAGGGCATTGGGCCAGAATCCTACTAATGCTGAAATCCGGAAAGTCCTGGGACATCCAAAGCCTGACGGTAAGTCATCTCTGCTTTACCATGTGCAGGGGAAATTATAATACAGCATGACCACAGGATGGCAGCAGATTCCAGATTTAAGGGATCATATTGGAACATTCAGCCTTCCTTTAAGAACAGATCCATTCTATGGTAGTTAGGAATATAAAGCTACAAAATGTGGGTTATGCAGTTCCTTTGATGAGGAAAAACTCTGTCTTCTTGTGACTTAATTATAATCTGATCTGCAAAAATCAACAAGCTATGATTTCTGATGCATAGGAATAAATATTGTAACCTATAAGCCAGGGGTGCTATTCAGCAGGTTCTGACAGGTTCTGGAGAACCGGTAATGGAAATTTTGAGTAGTTCGGAGAACCAGTAAATACCACCTCTGGCTGGCCCCAAAGTGAGGTGGGAATCACTCCAGGGGAAGGATTTTGCAGTATCCTTCCCCTGGAGTGGGGTAGGAATGGAGATTTTGCAGTATCCTTCCCCTACCACGCCCACCAAGCCACGTCCACAGAACCAGTAGTAAAAAAATTTGAATTCCACCACTGCTATAAGCTCTGTTACAATTATTAGAAGCATGTAGCCATTCTTCTTGAACACACTAGGAACCTGCAACACCATTCATGAATAAATAAATCAGTATAATTTTAGTATAATTTATATTTGCAAGAATATGTTTAAAAAAATGGACCGACAGTTAGTTGAATGAAACATAATAGCCTACAGTATAATACATATACAGTATAATGCTAAACATAAGTAGTAGCCTGTGTATCACAGTAGCTGAGTTCAGGAATTATGCTAAACTGAAATTAAATTTAGCAAAATGTGTGAACTCAGGCAATGTGATTAAGAGGTATTTAAAAATTTAACTGTATATACTCTCTCTCCTATACTGGACACATAATCTAAATTAAGTGCATAATATAATCTAAAAAATATAATGTATCAAAGAGTATGTTTTCCTAATTTAATTTGCATTTAAAATTTACATTTTTCAAACAATCTGGAGTTACATGAGTAAAAAAGTGGTAAGACAGTTTGGCATAGAACTTAAACTGGGATGCTGCGAGTTTTGGTGTATCTTAGGCACAAAGGCAGTTTAGGTGATCTTGGGCCATCCCTCTCTCTTAGCCCTGGGAGGCAAGCAAGGGCAAACCATTTCCGAAGTACAGCATTGCCAAGAAAAATACAGGGACCCCTCCAGGTAGTTGCCTGGAATCAACACTAACTCAAAGAGACACACACAAAATTGCAAGACTAGCAGTTGTGCTGGGCATGTACACACCCTGGAAACTGGAAGAGCTTTAGTTGTTTCTTTATTGTATTATGCTTTCAGCATATTTTTAATTGTACTCTACTATTCAAGCTAGGAGTGCCAGATCAGCACAATCCAAGAAAAAGAATGCAGAAGAACTGTTGGGAGAGCCCTTGAAGTCTTCTAGTTCAAACTTTCTGCTTGAACAGAAGACTCTATACCAGGGGTCTGCAACCTTAAACACTCAAAAGAGCCATTTGGACCCATTTCTCACAGAAAAAAAAAAAAACACCAGGAGCTACAAAACACTTCCTGTGCCTGACTATTTCTTGAGCATCCACAAAACTAGCACATGTAGTTGAATTAAATGTTCTGTTTTCTTCTGAAATTTTTCTTTTCTTGGATTTATCCATGGTTGGCCTACCGGGGGTTGAAAAGCTCAATAAATCATGTGCCGGCGGGTGTCACACATTGGCGGTTGTGACACATATTTTGAGTGACAGGGAGCCGCAGCAGAGCGGTGAAACAGTGGCTCCAGGTTGCTGATCCCTGCCCTATACCAGAGGTGGGTTTCAGCAGGTTCTGACCAGTTCTGGAGAACCGGTAGTGGAAATTTTGAGTAGTTCGGAGAACCGGTAGTAAAAATTCTGACTGGCCCCGCCCCCATCTATTCTTTGCCTCCCAAGTCCCAGCTGATCGGGAGGAAGTGGGGATTTTGCAGTAACCTTCCCCTGGATTGGGGACGGAATGGAGATTTTACAATATCCTTCCCCTGCCACGCCCACCAAGCCACACCCACCAAGCCATGCCATGCCCACCAAGCCACACCCACAGAACTGGTAGTAAAAAAATTTGAAACCCACCACTGCCCTATACATACATACATATATATATATATATTTATTTATTTATTTATTTATTTGATTTGATTTCTATACCGCCCTACTCCCGAAGGACTCAGGGCGGTGCACAGCCAAACAATAAAACACATACATACAAAATTTAAAAGTAGGATAAAATCAAATTAAATAATTTTGGCCCCGACAAATTTAAAACCCCAAACTTTTAAAACCAATTTAAAATTGAATGTATAAAATACTAAAAGATATTTAAAAATTAAAAATCTTTTATAAAAGAGGGAGAAAATTAGGCCAGGTCCTAAGCCATGGAGCGCTTTAAAGATGGTAACCAAAACCTTGAAGCGCACCCGGAAGACCACCAGGAGCCAGTGCAGCTCGCGCAGGAGGGGTGTTACATGGGAACGCCATGTCGCTCCCATTACCACCCACGCGGCCACACTCTGCGCCAGTTGGAGCCTCCAGGTGCTCCTCAAGGGGAGCTCCATGTAGAGAGCGTTGCAATAGTCCAGGCGGGAGGTGACAAGGGCATGAGTGACCGTGCGTAACGAGTCCCGATCCAGAAAGGGACGCAACTGGCGAATCAGGCGGACCTGATGAAAAATCCTCCCGGTCACGGCTGTCAAGTGCTCTTCTAAAGACAGCCGTGAATCCAGGAGGACGCCTAAGTTGCGAGCCCTCTCCGTGGGGGCCAATGATTCGCCCCCAATAGTCAGTGATGGCGTCAACTGACTATATTGGGACGTCGGAATATATATATATACCCAGCATGCATACATACATAATACATACATGAGAGCAGAGATGAGATTCACATCAGTGGTGGGATTCAAGTAATTTAACAACTGGTTCTCTGCCCTAATGATTTCTTCCAACAACCAGTTCACCAAACTGCTCAGAAAGTTAACAACCGGTTCTCTCAAAGTGGTGTGAACTGGCTGAATCCCACCACTGATTCACATATTGTAACAACTGGTTCGCCTAGCACCGGAAATGGGAGCGTGCGTGCGCCATCCGCACATGTGTGAGGCGTCAAAAACACACTGATATAGGGCGGGATTGCGTCTGGGCGGGTAGGCTGGGCCCACCCTTTCTATATTCATTTATATTATTTAAATTCAGTTCATAAATTAAAAGGTACAGTGCAGTGTTTGTTTTTCTCTTAGGGTAGTGAATGATCCCAGCCACAGCTCTGCAACTCACCAGCTTCAAAGGGGAAAGTTAGTTGGGGCGGGCAGGGCCGCTCATGTTGTATCTGCAGGGCCTTCTTAAAATAGGATGTGTCTTTTCCAGAGATGGCTGCCCCATAAGGAGATGTCAAGTGACATGAATGGAGCGCTCCAGCACATTATCATTTTTCCTCTTTCAAATCCAGGTTACTTATATAGTTCCACAGTATAGAGATAATCGAATAACAGAACAGGGATCTTGGGGGTATTAACAGAGTTGGAAGGGACCTTATAGGTCATCTAGTCCAACCCCCCGCTCAAGGAGACTCTACAGTATTTCTGTAGGGTCTCCTGGGGCGCAGTGGTTAGAGTGCAGTACTGCAGCTACTTCAGCTGACTGCTAGTTCAGCAGATCAGCGGATCAAATCTCACTGGCTCAAGGTTGACTCAGCCTTCCATCCTTCCGAGGTGGGTAAAATGAGGACCCAGATTGTTGGGGGCAATATGCTATTTAGTATACTGTCTTTGGTGTAAGCCGTCCAGAGTCCTCGGAGAGTGGGCAGCATAGAAATATGAAAAATAAAATAATAATAAAATAAAATAAAATAAAATAAATAAAATAAAATAAAATAAAGTAAAGTAAAATAAAATAAAATAAAATAAAATAAAATAAAATAAAATAAAATAAAATAAAATAAAATAAAATAAAATAAAATAAATACAGTATTTCTGACAGATGGCAGTCCAGTCTCTTCTTGAAAGCTTCCAATGATGAAGCTCCCACAACTTATGAAGGCAAGCTGTTCCATTGGTTGATTGCTCTCACTCTCACAAAAATTTTCCTTATTTCCAGGTTGAATCTCTCCTTGTTCAGTTTCCATCCATTATTCCTTGTCTGGCCTTCGGGTGCTTTGGAAAATAGCATGACCCCCTCCTCTCTATGGCAGCCCCTCAAATACTGGAACATTGCTATCATATCTCCCCTGGTCCTTCTCTTCACTAGACTAGCCATGCCCAGTTTCTGCAACTGTTCATCGTATGTTTTAGCCTCCAGTCCCCTAATCATCCTAGTTGCTCTTCTCTGCACTCTTTCTAGAGTTTCAACTTCTTTTTTAATAGTATGGTGACCAAAACTGGATGCAGTATTCTAGGTGTGGTCTTACTAAGGCTTTATAGAGTGGTATTAGTACCTCACTTGATCTTGATTGTATCCTTCTGTTAATGCAATTTAGGATTGCATTGGCTTTTTTGGCTGCCGCCACACACTGTTGGCTCATATTTAATTGGTTGACCACTAAGACTCCAACAGTTGGAAGGGACCTTGAGGTCTAGTCCAACTCCCTGCTCAAGCAGGAGACTCTATACCATCTCAGACAAATGGTTGTCCAATCACCTCTTAAAAATCTCCAGTGTTGGAGTACCCACAACCTCTGGAGGCAATTTGTTCCACTGATTAATTGTTCTTAATTGTGAGGAAATTTCTCCTTAGTTTCACTTACATTTTCACTTAAAAGCTGAGAACACAAATCTCTCCCCAGAATATGTTGTCATTTAGATATACTTAGATATATTCACTTAGATCCCAAGAACGGTTCCAATTATAAGCCACAGTTTGTAACAAGGCTGAGCAATTCATAACCTTTGGCTATATATTGCCAACTCTTTTTTTCCCCCTGACTGTTCAACACATCTGATTTAGTTGTTTTTAAAGGACATGCAAGTCTCTCAGCAACTTTTTTTCCCCCTTTAGTTTTAATTCCTTATTGACGAAGTTCTAGCTGTGTGGCACAGAAAAAGCTTTTTGAGATTCAAGGATGGAGAGTTGGGTGGGAAATGAATGCTTCTTCTCCCTTTGCATCTTCTCTTCCCCCACTTTCTGATGGCCCCCAGAGCTGAATTCTAAACGGGTGGAGTTTGAAGAGTTCCTGCCAATGCTGCAGACAGTTGCCAAGAACAAAGATCAAGGCACCTATGAAGATTATGTGGAGGGGCTCCGAGTCTTTGATAAGGAGGGGAACGGAACCGTCATGGGGGCAGAATTGCGCCATGTCCTTTCCACACTGGGTAAGTATACTGTAGTCCCTACCACTGTGATGGTGAACCTATGGCATGTGTGCCACAGGTGGCATACAGAGCCCTCTCTCTCGGCACGCTAGCCGTTGCCCCAGCCCAGCTTCACCACGCATGCGCACGTGCCTCCCACCGGCCAGCTGGTCTTCAGGTCTCTGCTGCTCATACACGGGGGGTGGGTGCATGCACGGGGGTGTAGGTTAGTGCAGTTGTCTTTCCAGACCCAAAACAAGACGTGGAGTGCCCCGTTTTGGGCCTGGAAAGACTCCTGAACCAACCTGGAAGCCAAAACGGGGCACAGGGGTGGCTCATGCACAGGGGACGCAGTGCATTTGTGCGGGACGTGCACATTGCATTTTCGGTGTTTGGGCACGCGTGTGCTTTGGGCACTCAGCACCAAAAAGGTTAACCATCACTGCCCTACCACCACCATGAAAAGGCACTAAAAGGCATTACATGGGGAAATTGCCACAGCCTGGAGCCCAAAAGAACTTCCAAACAATAAAAAATTCATCTTAAGATACAGCTACAACCTCAATTTGCCTCCTTTAGAAAGGCACTAATCAATAAACACCAGTGTTCTCCTGATCTTCTTTTAACATTGGTTGTAATCCTCAAGTAATTTGGATGGTTTTCTATCCCTTTAAGGTTAACATTAGCTCTGTTGTAATGTCGGCTGAATTATCATTTCTCCATTGATGGAGGTTCTTCTAATTTGATTTACTGTACTTTGAAAAATATCAGGTGAAATCTGTGTTTTAGTTGCAAAGTGGCATTAGCCTATAAAGGCCTTTTTTTTTAAAAAATGAAATTGTTGGCTTGCCTACAAAAAAGTAAAGCCCTTCGTGTTGTGTGTTTTTGTTGTTATCTGGTTTTGCCAACCTTTTGCTTTCTCGTGCATTTCTTCTATTTTTTCTACGTTTTTTTTTTTTACTTAGAAAAATTTTTCACTTTCATTTTTTTTAAAATTTCCAGTTGCTAGGAATTGGGGAAAGGGGAAGGGTGTACAAATGTAATGAATATTTTGATGAAAGATAAACTATCTTCCTTTTTTATTTGCTTTCAGGTGAGAAAATGACAGAAGACGAAGTGGATTCTCTATTATCAGGGCATGAAGATGCTAATGGTTGCATTAATTATGAAGGTAAGATGTTATGCCTGTTGTCAGTTGAGAGGTTATGCAAAGATATTTGATTCAGTTTGGACCCTACAAAAACATCAGAACATCCACATCTGACAGGCAAATAAGCCCCAAAAATAGTAAATGTTGGAAGATTCTTGTTTTCACAGAATATCGTATAAATAAGAAACCCCTTATGGACTTTTTTGTATACAGCATAAAAATGAACATGATATGTGTTTTGAAGATCAGATTAGTAAGATTTTAGAAAGAAGAGAATCATGATGCAACTTTAGAGAAAGAGGGCAATTTATAATTGTACTTATAACTATTGTGAAGAAAATTAGAAGCCACTTTGTAGCCTTTTTCATTCTATTATATTTTTCTTTTATAGTACTTCTACTTTTTCGTTTTCTTTTTTCTTTCTTGGGCTTTTAGATTTCGATTTCTTTCTTTTTCTTTTTTCCTCATGATTCTTTCTTGGTTTATACTAGATTTTAACTTCAATAAAATTATATATATAAAATTGCATAAGTATGGAATACTAATATTATGATGATATGGGATCTGTATATACACCAGTACTCATGTAGATGTCAGAATTACCTAAAGGTTAGCAATAGGACTTCAGTTATTCCTGTTATTTATTAAAAATTAAACCTGGTCCAGATATATTTTTTTAAAAAAGCAATCTAAAAGGAAGTTATCAGATATAATGTCTACTCTTCCAGTGATGTTTGCATTTTATCACAATATATATAGGCTAGTTGTTGGATGAAAGTAAATTAAAATGATCTATGGTAATAGTTTGCAGCCAACTTCTATCTATCATCAGCCTGAAGCAACTAAAATAGGAGGGATGGCTGCTGCCTCAAGTTAAAATATTTTATGTGAAAATATGTCCTGGGACAAAAGTTAACCACAGTGGGTGATTTTAATCTCTTAAATTTTCTCCTTTCTTTCTCACAGCATTTGTCAAACATATCATGGCAAGCTGAGCTGGAGGTCTATGAGTAAGTGCAGTATTTCCAAGCATCATTTATATTCTGGATTGATAGGAGCTCCCTTTTTTCCTCCCTTCCTAAATAAGATTCTTCTCCACAGCTTTTTCATAGGCAATCCTTCATTTGCCCTTCACATATCCTTGAGTATTTTATTGTCGCTGCAGGCTATTTTATCCAAACTGTACACACAGTTAGGCAAAATTTGCCAGGACACTGTTTTCTACCATATCCCTGAACATCATAACAAAATATGAGTTATTAGATCTAACAATTCTTACCAAATATGTGAAGTTCACTATTAAGAGCAGTTATTAGAGTGCTTGGTGATTAAAAATCAAAGATTGCCATATTGATTCATGACAGAGTAAAATATTGGCCCAGTAAAAGTAGTCTTTGACTTACAACCACGATTGAGCCCAAACTTTCTGTTGTTAAGTGAGACATTTGTTAAGTGAGTTTTTCCCACTTTACGTTTCTTGCCACAGTTGTTAAATGTATCACTGCAGTTATGGTAGTAATGAGGTTGTTAAGTGAATCTCTGTTGACTTTTCTTGTCAGAAGTCACAAAAGGTGATCACATGACCCTGGGACACTGCAACGTCATAAATATGAGCCAGATGGCCAAGCAGCTGAATTTTGTTCATGTGACAATGGAGATGCTTCAATAGTTGTGTGAAAAACAGTCATAAGTCACTTTTTTCAGTGCCATTATAGCTTTTAACGGTCACTAAACAAACTGCTGTAAGTCAAGGACTTCCTACTGCAGGGCTCTCAAACTCCCAGGCCGCGGGGCGGATGCGTCTCATGCTGGCTACGCTCACATCCGGTTTAGCGAAGGGGGAAAAAGTCCCGATACGTCATATGGTGCTGCCGTGATGACATAAGTTTCACACCCCTGGCCTACTGCATATATTATATTGTATAATAGAAAGAATGCAGTAAAATAGAAAGATGATTATATGGTTAATCAAAAAGAAATATTGATTTCTTTTCTCCACTTTGACATTTTTCTTCTGAAGAGATATCTATGCCTTCTTTTAATGATTATTGTGAAACTTTGATATTTATGGACATTTGAGACACATATTCTCTTTCTTCACAGGCAGTGCTGCTCAAGATGCTGTCTTCAGATACAACTCCTCAGCCTACAGTCCTTAATGGCCGTCACTTTCCTGTTTTTTTCTACCTTTGTACACACACAATCTGCAGCCCAGACATTTTTCCCAGTAGACCGTAAAGATATCTTTATAAATACCGAATTGGTGAAACATCAGTACCTCAGTCAGTGATCATCTATGGAACCAGAAGGGAGCAGCAGCAACAGCAGCAGCAGCAAATTTCACAATTTTTGTGTGGAGAAATCCACTTGCTTAAATCATCTGACTCTACAAACTACTCATTTTTCTAAACAATAAAGTTTTTGATTTTCAGATGTTGTGATTTCTTGATTTGTCATTAGTTTCCAAGCACTGAGGTAAGACAAGGAGAGCCTGCTTAATGTTCAAGATGTACACAATCATTTTGAAAAGGGTGGGGCAGATGGCAGGATCTACGAATCTTCCTGCATATCTGAGTCAGCGTTTTAGATCAAAATACAGAACCACAGATTATTTAAATAGTGTAGCTACCGTAGATTATGTTAAAACCCAAACCCATCGGGACAAAAGGCAGAACTTCTTAATCATATTTTGCATTTTCTATTAGCTATGGGGAATTTAGGTTACTGCTCAAACCCAAAAGAGTTACTTGGAAGTTCGTCAATGTTGACCTTCAGATCTCCAGGCACAGAGAGGAAGGACTAGAGTGTCCCTAAAATCTATATCATCCATATCACTTCTTCTCCCTATTGTAAACAAGCGTAGAAAATCAACAAGAGATTTCTGTATATGTCTGAAGGGAACAAGCTTTTCCTCACACTCTCTACCCCTCCTTTTCCCAAATTGCTTTTATCTAGAAAAAGCAGCCAATGATTTTCTTATTTGTCTTTGTAAATGTAACATGTTGCTTGGCATTCAGAATTCCAGGGGATAAAGGTTAATTATTATTTACACAATAGCTATATTTAATTGACTATTGTATGGCTACAAGGTTATAAAACTCACTAGAGATGTCAGCAGTAGATGATGTCAGTAATTAAACTTTCTTTTTGCAATGCAGATCTGGTGGTCCTAACCTCAATACCCCATCTTCGAAATCTGTGTGTATAAAGATAGCTTTCTATATTCATCATATGAAGTGTGTTACAACAGTTCACTAAAGGTTAAAGAGTCAGAAAGAAGGCCTTGAAGCAAATATTCAGAAACCATTATTTAAACAAAGAGGATAGAAGCATTCCTTAATTCCTGGGAAAGAAGATACAGGTAGTATCACTTAGCGACCATTCAAAGTTATTGTATTACCCCAAGGATATTTACAGCCCAGTTCTGATGATCATCCCAACACCTGCAGTCACATAACCATATTTCAGGGGCTTGGCATACAGCCTGTATTTATTTGTCTGTTAGCTTTGTACATTTTTTATCTTTTATGATTGTAAGCTGCCCAGAGTTACCCTGAAGTAAGATGGGAGGCCAATAAATTTTACAAATAAATAAATAAATAGCCATTTGCAATGTCCCACAGTAATTTACACATCTTATGACATTTTTGCCCCAAACCAGAATTTACTTACCAGCAGTTTTCAGCAAAACCACTCCATAATGAACAAAGGGACTGCAGTGTTCACTCAATCACAGCACAGATCAATTTATGAGCATCACAAAAAAGGTCATATAATTGGGTCGGTCACATGGATGACCTGCTTTATGACACTCATGACATATAACCATAATGGGCATGCCTCAGTTACAGTTGTACGTTGAGGATTATCTGTATTAAGAGTGGGCTGGCTCTTTCTGACTCCCTGAGGTGTAAGAGGCAGGAGAGGACAAACACAATCAGATTTACGAGCCTCTCTTATAGCCCAATTCAAAAAGCATAGTTTTGATCTTCCTGTGGAGTGTGTTTCCTAATCTGGTCTACTTCAAAGGGCTGATATAAATATTCCAAAATCAAAATTGGCTAGAGCTGAGTGATCTATTGCATGTCAAGTAAAGGTGTATGAAAGCAGGAGGAGATGGCACCGAAACTGAATTATTATTATTTTATGTAGAGCAGGGAGGGGGATCTTTGAACTTATTTGAACTTGTCCTCTTTGTTTACATAATGGTTTCTGAATAATTACATATAGTACTGTTGAATCTATATGGATTCATGATGTTCACAAGTAATCATAACAAAAGGTCTGTGGTAGATATAAATAAATTAAAACAATCAGCTAATCATATTTATAAAAGAACAAGGATAAATTATAGTGCTAATGATAAATCATAACAAAACAAAATAAAGCATCATCAAATTAATGTAAATAATTCAAAGTAAAACAAAGATGGTGATAATAAATAGTTCAGTCAAATGCTCTTTAGAAAAAAATCTGTTTTCAGTAGTTTTTGGAACATTAGAAGTGGTGGAACAAATTTTAATTCTAAAAGGAGTTATTCTACAAGGTAGAAGCAGGAACTGAAAAACAGCATCTTCTAGACTCCATTTCCAATATAGAAGTACTCAACACAAAAACTAATAATCCAATAAGGGCAACAAAGAGGAAATTTCAGCCACCAAATAACAACAAAAAACTCTCCATAATTTGAATTATGGACACATATTGACAAGTTAGACAGAAGCCAATAGTCAGACAAACCACTCATGTTAGCCTCCCCACTTTACAAGGTCACTTATACCCTTTATTTTCTTCTAATCTTTCAATAAATAATCAGAGGAGAGTAGCCCCCTCTGATCCATACTCACTTTAGATGAAAATCTTCCCACCCGTCTCATCAGAAGGATCACCCCAATGCAACTTTTATGTTCTGATCTCAGAACCCCTCAATTTCTACTATTACAGTAGTTCTATTGTATTTAGGGATAGTAATTCTACTTATGGACCAAGATCACAAGTGAATCCCAATTGAGTGTGTTGCTGATCCAGGATCTCACACTCCAGACTTTCACTGCCTGCCACTGTGTGATGGAATATAGTAGGCTAGATCCCTAGGATGGAGGGTGTGCATTCCACAGGAGTAAGGGATAACTCAGTCCCGATATTTTGTGTGAGAGAAAGGCAACCCTTCTGTAGTAGTTCTCAGAGTGCATGGTAGCTGCAGATAACAGAGTGCTTAGTCTGGCAATATTCTGTCTACAGGTGTGGAAACAATAAAGAACTCAGCTTGGAAAAATCACCAAGTGTCATTCTTGGTTCACCGGATTCATAATACCCTTTAAAATAAATAGCTCATTACAGCAGCAGATCTCCTAGCCAGTCTGTCATGGTAAATGTCTAACTGTATTGCCACCCTGGACACATGGCCCTGCAGGGATTAACAAACCACACATCCCATAACTCCCATAGCCACTCCTTACCTCCTGGCCCCTCCTCCTGGGTATAATAGCTCTCACCACGAGGTACTCCAGTTGTTCCAGATGTATACCTGAAAGAGAAAGGTCTAAGGTCAGTGACCTCTGGTGCCATAGGGCCTAGGATTCATCTAGGCCTGCAATAAAGGAATCCCCTTGAGAAAAAGAATTTGTCTGTGAGTTATTGGGCTAGATCCATCATTGAACACAGTCAATCCCGATAAAGAGTCACCAGAACCTTTCATCTGTAGTATTTTATTTTCCGTCAACTTCTACTGCCTATCACAGCTACTATAGTGTGTAGTATACTATACTCTTAGACCTTTCTGATAGTGTCAGTCCAGTGGTGAAATCCAATTTTTTTTTACTACCAGTTCTGTGGGCGTGGTTTGGTGGGCCTGGCAGGGGAAGGATACTGCAAAATCTCCATTCCCACCCCACTCTGTGGACAGCCAGAGGTGGTATTTGCCAGTTCTCGGAAGTGCTCAAAATTTCCACTACCGGTTCTCCAGAACCTGTCAGAACCTGCTGGATTTCACCCCTGGTACAACGCCAGAAAATGGGACTGATTGACTAAATCACGGTTCTTCACCAGGTTCTGCAAAAACAGCTGATGGTTTAATTTGAGTTAACTCAGCAATATGAGCCCCTCCCTCTCGGCTTGTTTTAAAGCAGGGATGGGGAACTACAGCCCTTTTACGACCTGCGGACTTCAACTCCCAGAATTCCGGGAGTTGAAGTCCACAAGTCACAAAGGGTCCATAGTTCTCTCCCCCGACCTCTGTTTTAAAGGGGAAAAAAAAAACTACAATCCCCAACGTGCAATGCAACAATCTCGTTCAGCGGCCTCTACGACGACACGCGAGATTCTAACTCCTCCGTGGGCCCAAGTCGCCCCTACCGTATTTCTCTTTCTCCTTTACGTCAGAAAGAAGGGTGGGAAAGCCCCGCCTCCCCATTTCGGCTATGTACGAGACGCAACTTTTTAAGCATAACGTTTGGAACCGCCTCCTCCTCCTCTTCTCCCCCCCTCCATTTTTTGGCATCAGCCAATCGGAGGCGAAGACCCGCGCGGTGACTTGAAGAGCCACTCCCGGGCCGAGCTCGCACACATTCCGGGCGGAAGGAGGGAACGGTCGGAGCGACGCTCAGCTCTGCTTGCAACAATGGTGAGTGCTTTGCAAAACGGGCGAAGTTTTGAGGCCGGTCAAGATTGCAGGACGGTTTCTTAATTGCGGCCGTTCGAAGAGCGGTTGCTGAGTATTGTAGGACGGTCTCTTACTTGAGCGGGAGGAGGAGGGGAGGGGGTTGGACTAGAAGACCTCGGAGGTCCCTTCCAGCTTCTATTCTGATTGAGTCGGCTGGACTTGAAGAATAAAAGTCGGCTGCAGGGCGGGAAATGCAGTGGAAAGGGGAAAGTTTTTGGGCGAAGAAATCGGCTGGCTTCTTTTCTTCTTTCCCCCCTCCCTAAGTAACACACCTTTTATTCTCTCCTCGGATTTGATTTGCAGTGTGACTTCTCGGAAGATCAGACCGCCGGTAAGTGCTTTTTTTAAAATTATTTTTGTCTTTCCCCCGCATTGGGCTATTCATTGGAAGGTAGAATATTATTGGGGATAAAGGGAGAAGGGGGGGAAACACGCACCCCCCCATTTCTCTTTCCCTTCCCCGCCCCCCGATAGTCTTAAGGGTGAAAAGGTTTTTTTGGGGTGGGGGGGGCAATTTGCGCTTACAATTCTTTTTTCTCCTTCCTTTGATTCTTCTAGCCTTTTTCCTTTCTCCCCCTCCCCACTCCCTTGATCATTGCTTCTCAATGGTGAGTTTTAAGGAAAAAGAGCAACTCCCCACCAGCACCCTCTCCGCGTTCCTTAACACCGTTTCCTGCTCGTTTGCTAACGCGCCCGGGCTTTTCATCATAGCAATGCGGTCCTGCGTGTGTGTGTGTATGTGTATGTGTGTAACTTGTGCATTGTAGGCCGGGTTTCTTTCTCAGCCCTTTTTTTGGGGGGGGGGGGACCGGCGATTTTGCCCTCCCCGACTTCTCATTCCCTTGACTTCAAGATTCACGCCCGGCTCGGCTCTGCCTTTCTACCTGAATTGCGTTTTTTTTTTTAAATAAAAAAAAAATCACCTCCCTGCATGGCTCATCATGCATAGTGTATTTCCTGGTTAAGGCTGCTTGAAAGGACGCGCCCAGTGGCCTCCATTTTCTGTTTCTTTAGCCAAATGATAACGTTAGGATTTTGTGCATGGAAAAGGTGAGCTGGGAGAACTTAAGAGTGTGGAAGCTAGCTTGTCGGAAGCCTTCCTTATTAACCCGGGAGGGTCGATCCTGGTTTAATCCTCGGCTATGCAGATGGAGAAGGCGGATGCAGACAACTCTTTGCCTCCCTTCCCCTCTTCCTCTTTCGGCCGGCCACAGAAGCTGCTGACTTTGTTTTTTTTGCAAGGCGGGTTTGGCTACTGCCAGGGAAAGGTCCCTATAACCCTAACCGTGCAGTGTTGGAAGAGCTAGTTTTCTCCCTTTGGAGGAGAAGGTGCTTTCAAAGAAGAGGGAAGATGGGCGCCGGGATAGCCGGCTCTGTTGGTTTCCTTATATGGGCAAGAAACTCATTTTGGAGCAGGAAGGGTTGGCAGCTGTCGCATTAATACATTCCAATCTGGAAGCGGATTCCTTTGCAAGGCTGGCTGAAACTCTAAGGTCTTAAGGGCAGCAGCCACGGCTGACCAGCAGTTGGAGATCCAGGTTCCCATTGAAATAAATCTGATTCTCTTAGTAGGAATAGCTGCTCAGTCCCCTCACCCCACCCCAGTTGGAGAGAGGTCTTGCCAGGCCAGCCCCAGCAAAGTCTGATCCCCTCTGAAGTTTTTGTTGGATGCCGGCATGCTTTATGCATCAGCCCTGTTGAGAGCACAGCTGTCAAATGGAGCAAAGGTTTCTTGAGCTTGGATTAAATTTGATTTCATCTAAATGTGGGGGATGGTGTTTTTTTTTATTTTTTTCATGTGCTTAATTTATTGTTGCCTAACCAAGATCAGTCAACACAAAAACACAAAATATTTGGGAGGAGGGACTAGTTGCTTTTCTTAAAAGTAATCTCACCATTTAATTAAAAAGCACCACTTAAGGAATGGTAATTTTTCAAAGTAGTATGTTGATTGGGCTCTTGATCCAGCCAAATTAGCTTCAAATGGAAGATCCAGCTTTAAAAAAAATGTGTTAGCAAGCTCACTTCAGTTGTTCACTATAGAACTTGACCTTAAACACTTATTCCTTCCAGACTAGCCTTCCTATTAACTAGAGACATCCTTAGGGCGTGGGGGCAGATGACAAAAGCTTTTTTGTACATGCACTGTTTTGATGAAGGCATCGGATCCTTCAGAATCCTTTGGTATTAATTGTGGCAGCAAAAAAGTTAAGTTTTAAATTTTTACAAAAAAAGATGGCTAATGCATTTTATTTGCAATTTAAGAGCCATTTTGACAATTTCACCATTGGATCACTTGGTTAATTGCCTTAAAAAAGTTTTAAAAGTATAAAAGTTTTGTAGGGAAAGAATACAGCTTAGTGAGACATGTCTGCAACTGGCATCTTTGATTAATGAGTCAAGATCTGTGTCTCTCAACCGTGGCAACTTTAAGTGGTACCGTCTTCAACTTCCCGAATTCCCCAGCCAGCAGTAGTAGTTGGGGAATTCTGGAGGTTGAAGTTGTCTAGAAAAATCTAATCTAGAAAATATCCTCTGCCTGATTCCTGGAAATAAGCTAGGATATCTGATGCATTAATAGCCTCTAGCATTGCCACACAGATGAAGAGGGCTGCTTTAGGTTGTATGATCAACAATTGTGAGCCTGAATCCATGTCCTAGGTAGAAATTTTTTTGGCTACAACTCATTCCCCCCCATCACTACACCTCCCCCCCCAATAACCTCTAGTTGCAGGAAAAGTGTTTAATTTGAATTTTCCCACCTCCATTGCTATGTTTTCTTGAGTGAAAATAATTAAGAGATGGGGAAGTAGTCTGTTATGTGTTACCTTGCATGGGAAGGAAACTTGGATTTTATTACATGGCCTTGCGTTGTGTCATGCTTGTTTTGATGTGCCTCAGCTACTACTCTGCTTTTTATGGATTCTTGACTCCTAACAAATGGCAGTATAGCAGAGTGATTAGAATAGTGGACTGGACCTAAGGAGGAGCAGTGAAGGATACCACTTCTGTGAAGGATACCTGAGAAGGGATACCCTTAGGGAAGAGTTATATATGCTAAACAGAATTCTTTCAGTAAATAGCATTTTAAAAAACATCACAGTTGTATAATTCATTTGTCCACATTTTAAATTGGAGAGCAAGACTTTTCTGTGAACTAAAAATCCCTTGACAATACAGGTAGTCCTTGATTTACGACCACAATTGAGTCCAAAATTTCTGTTCTTAAGTGAGACATTTGTTAAGTGAGTTTTGATCCATTTTACGACCTTTCTTGCCATAGTTGTTAAGTGAACCACTGCAGTTGTTAAATTAGTACCCTGGTTGTTAGGTGAATCTGGCTTCCCCATTGACTTTGCTTGTCAGAAGGTCGCAAAAGGTGATCACAAGATCCTTATTTGTACAATTGTCCATATACTAGTCTGTCTAGGTGCCTTAGGTCAGGATGAAAAACGAAGAGAGAGATCAACTGATTTACATGGCATGTAAATCATGCCACTTGCTTTGCATGGTTCTAAAATCATGTGCTGGGAGAGACTTAAAAAAAGCTTTCTCCAATTTGGATCAGTCCAGATGTTTTGGAGTATAATCAAACCTTTATTACAGTCAAAGTTCATCATTTTAGACTACAGTGCCCTTCAGGCCCAATCAGCGTAACCAATGGACTAGTAATAATAATGTGGCCAAAATCTCAAGTACATTGCTGACAAGATACTGCTGAGTTATAGAAAACAAACAGAACTGGGGCTCCCCGTGTTCAGATCTGGTGCTTTGATCAAACTTACGAACTGCCCCTCATTTGACCATTTGCTATGGGAATGCCCATCCACAAATTCTCTGTCCTTTACCTTCACACAGATAAACGTGTACATTCCAGATTTACTGTGGCCAGCACATGATTTTAGAACCATGCAACACAAGCGGCATAAAATGCCATGTAAACCAGTTGATTGATCTCTCCGTTTTTCATCCTGATCCTAGAACAGAAATGGCTAGACAATTTTCCTTTGGACACCATGTGATTCTTGCACAGGATGCTGGATTAGGTAGAAGTGGATCTAATTTAGCGAAGCATTTGTATTCTTCAGGGAGTGCCCACTGCAGTTAGCAGAGAGCATGTAGGCGTTGACCATCTGCTCCATTTTTATCCTGGTCTTGCTCCAAGAAATAAACTATGGGATATAGAGCTCTACCATCCTCCTCCACCTCCTTAAAATAATTTTGTATGGGAAGTGAAGCAGAGAATGAGCAGCTCAGAGATTTAAGAGTGAGTTTCATGTTTAAAGGGAATTGGGCAATCTCCAATCTTGGTTTAACATTCTATCCACTAAACAAGTAGATTTTCAAACTCTAGCGTAGTGTATATTTGGAGCATAAGCCAGGGTGTGTTGATTTGAAGCCGAGACTCATTGAGTCTTAGCAGTGAGGCTCACTGCAAAAGAAGGCCTACAGTTTTAAAGATGTTATGTCAAGTTCTAAGTAAGTTTGGGGGGGGTGGGGGATAAAAATGATGAAAAATATCATTCCTGACATTCTGCTTTCTGTGGATGGAAAGGGATAGCTGAGGCGCTGCTTTCTTTCCTTTCCCTTTGCTTAGAATGATGTTCATTTTGCCTAAGCTTTTTTCCTTGTGACCTTCTGCAGAGTTCAAGGAAGCTTTCCAGCTCTTTGACCGAACTGGTGATGGCAAGATCCTGTATAGCCAGTGTGGAGATGTGATGAGGGCCCTGGGCCAGAACCCCACCAATGCTGAAGTCATGAAAGTTCTGGGAAACCCCAAGAGCGATGGTGAGCACATGTTGTACTGTATCAGTTGGGGGTGAGCTATGGAGGAAAGTGCTGCCATTCTTGCCTTAAAGGTTGCCTTTTATCTAGATCAACCATGGCAACTTTAAGACTTGTGGACTTCAAGTCCCAGAGTTCCTCAGCCAGCAAAGCTTGGGATTGGCTGCAGATATCATGGCACCCTGGCCTTATTTTCTGCTGTTCTTCACTGGTGCCCCAGTGTGCTCTTTACTGCCCTAGCCCTACCTTGACCATCTTCCAAAGCTGGTCATCAGAGAGCTTCCAAATGTAGCCACAGCCAGCCAGCATTGTTATCTTTAAGAACCACCTGTGAGGAACAAGAAGCTTTCTTGGAATCAGACTGATTGCAATGCAGCCTAAGATTATCCTGCGTTTGATTTCAGGAGTAGAAATGCCATGGTGAACAATTTTTGATGCAAGGAAGATAAATTCTTGAACTAATTAAATTTCTTCCTTGCTGATTTTAAACTGCTGTTATAACTACTTTTGTTTTCCTGATGTTAAGACTCAATTCTACTTTTTTTAGAAGAGGGCATTATTAACTCAGTCTTGTTTTTTGGGTCCATTACTATAGCAATATGAGCAAAATCTCCAACCTCTAGTTTAAACTATTTTTTTAATGTGGAGTTTAAATTATATTGAGGAAAGAAGAAATCCAGATCCTAATTCAAAAGGATGTAATTTTGAGATTTGAGGATATAATTTGGGGTCCATCATGTGGAGAGGTACATCTTATTCATGTCCCCTCATTTCTCTTCCCTGCCTTCAGAAATGAATATGAAAACACTAAGTTTTGAACAGTTCTTGCCCATGATGCAAACCATCGCCAAGAATAAGGATCAGGGCTGCTTTGAGGATTACGTGGAAGGATTGAGGGTTTTCGACAAGGAGGGAAACGGCACAGTTATGGGAGCAGAGATCCGCCATGTTCTTGTCACCCTAGGTAAGATTCCATTTAGCTGTTCTTGCTGGGAATTCTGAGAGAAGTCAGTTCAACACACATCTTGAGGCGATCGACAAAAGGAACTTGAAGATGTTGAGGGCGTTGGTTGTTCTTCACTGAGTTTAAAACTACTGCTTCTACTGTGTCATTTTTGCTAAATGACTCGATCTATATCAAATCATTTCTAAACCCATCTGTCTTTCCCTGCAGGTGAGAAGATGACCGAAGAGGAGGTAGAGATGCTTGTGGCCGGCCATGAAGACAGTAATGGCTGCATCAACTATGAAGGTGAAGCCCAGGGACCTGAACATGCTTTTGGCCTTGAAGTTGCCTTTCATGATTCAAAGGGCCTGATATCTCTTTACTCTGGGGAGTTGGATGGAAAACTCTGGGATTGGGAATGCTTTGCAAGGTTTTCAGTAGTGTGTGTATTTTCTCACATAGTATAAATACACCTTTTCTTTCCTATTGACGTAGAAGGAAGTTCAGGTAAAGTCTAGGGAGAAGGTGGGCAACTTGGAGCGCTTAAGTATTTTTGAATACCTCTCCCCCATTTCTTGCTTTTTGGTTGGAGCTGGTGGGAATCGGTCCAAAAGATGTAGAGGGCCGCTGGTTGTCTATTCCTTCCATGGTAAATGACTATATTTAACAATATGGAGAAGTTGGTGGTTTTTGGTCACCAAGTGAAGGAGCTGCCAATCATGCCGGTGGCTGCTAATTGTCTCCTTGTTTTTTTAAAAAAAACAAACCGCCTGTCTAGAAGTGTTTCTCAACATTTAAGATGTGTGGATTTCAACACCCACTCTGGTTTAGGAATTCTGGGAGATGAAGTCCACACGTCTTAAAAGGGGCCAAGGTTTAGAAGCACTGGCCTCGAGCAATATATTTGCGAATCCTATTAAGCAAGGGGCCAGTGTTATGGCAGCTTTCCATTGCTTTGTGTTGTGGGAGTTTACATATCCTGTGAGGAATCCAAGTGATTTGGGACTGTTGGCTTGTTAAGAAGGGGCGACTTGGGGGAAGAAGTTGATGTGCGAGTCAAGCTAGTTTGTCTATGTACAAATAACTCCCTTGCCTCAAAAGCTCCCTGTAACCTTGTGCTGTGTCTGCTGCATTTGACTGTGAACATAAGTACAGCAGAGACTGCAGTGGTCCCTCGTGATGTGTAGTGTGTGTTGTGTTCCATGTGTCTGTTTTTATTTAATTTGCTTGATCAATTTTGATGTTTTTCCTTTCTACAGCATTTGTGAGACACATCTTATCAGGGTGAATTCAAATGGGGTACGCCTCCTCCAAACCTATTCTTTTTTTTTTTTTAACAAGCCCCCCTTTTTTTTTGCTGCCGAAAAAAAAAAAAAGGAAGATGTTTGCGCTCTACTTTTTTCCCCCCTCCTTCCCAATTTCTCTTATTCGGCATCTTCCTCCATTTCTCCCCAACTTCTAGCATGTCTCTGCATGTAGCTGACTATGTGTATTCTAAGCAAAGGCGGCTAGGAAAATGAGGCAGCTCTGACTAGGCTTAAAGCAAGACTGTACCTGTGGAACCTCAGACTGTCAGTGGCAGTATAAGGGGAAATGTTTAATCTTTGGAAGGGTAAAAGGGCTCAAGGCCTGGATCTGGGGGTAATCAATATGCCTTGAGCTGCCATTGTAGATGATAAAGGGTCCTGTACCATCCTCTTCCTCTTCTAATACATATGAGCTGGGTTCCCTCTGTGTGATGGCTCCCAGGATAGCCTCAGCCGAGAGCTGCCTGAAGAAATGGGTTGCTCGCCAGCAAATGGCTAATTGGTGACTACGTTAGAAAATCCTTAGTATCCTTGAAGTGCCTTTTAAAAATCAGGAGAGGGGGGGAATATCTTAATGGTTTCAATTCATTAGAGTTCTCAGGGTGGTTCAGAGGAAATTAAAGCTGTGATCCTTAGAAATAATTTAGTCCAACTGTCTCTATTGATTTATAGGAAACCTATAGTATCCAGTTCATGCCTGCAGTCTCCTGAAGGTTTCAGCATAGGCCCCAGAGCTTGCCCAAACATTGCTGTTGGATTAGAACTTTTAAGATCAATAAAACTGAATTACAGGTTTAGTGAAGATATATCACCATCAGAGGATTTTCCTCGCCATGGTCTGGAAATAGCTTGCCATTTCTTTCTTTTGGAATGCCTGTTTGAATCCCTAATCTAGCCCAGGGGGTCTCCAACCTTGGCAACTTTAAGCCTGGAGGACTTCAACTCCCAGAATTCTCCAGCCAGCTTTGTGCTTTGCTGGCTGCTGAATTCTGGGAGTTGAAGTCCTCCAGGCTTAAAGTTGCCAAGGTTGGAGACCCCCTGGGCTAACCTGTAGCCTTGGACCTCTTATGGGGTGTCCAATACAGATAGTCCTCTACTTAACAAGCATACATTTAGTGATCATTTGAAGTTACAACAGCACCGAAAAAAGGACTTGCAACTGTTTTTCACGCTTTTGACTGTTGCAGCATTCCCACGATCACATCAAAATTTGGACGTTCGGCAACTGGTTCATATTTATGCAGTGACCTAGGGTCATGTGAACACCTTTTGCGAGCTTCGGACAAGCAAAGTCAATGGGGAAGCCAGATTCACTTAACAACCAGGTTACTCAGTTAGCAACTGCAACGATTCACTTTCTTCCACACTTGTGGCAAGAAAGGTCATACAATGGGGTAAAACTCACTTAACAATTATCTTGCTTAGCAATGGAAATTTTGGCCTCAAGTCATTAAGTCGAGGACTACCTGTAGCTAGGTTTCCAATTAGCCAAGGTTGCCTCGGCTCTTGGGGAACTATCGCACAAACGGCATTTCATTGTAATTGTAAAGTTACATCGAATAGAGGTTGGGGGAAAGGCCGGCTGTTTGTGTGGGCTGTGTGCCTATGTTGTGGAGTGTGCCCCTCCATCATGCCTCTCAAAGGCCAAATGATACCTGGAAAAAATGGCACACCTCTTCCCTATGTAATTGATGCCGCTGTTGATTTAGCATGCTGTTAAAAAGGTTCTTCTCGTGTTCTGTTGAATTTGACCCTCCTATAAATTTAAGCTCGGGAGATTCGTTCTTGTCCTCTGAGTCAGCAGAGTAAGACTTTGTTCTCCTATGCAGTGGCGTTACACGAATCTGAAAAAAAAACAGTGTCTTGTTTCTCCTTCCTTCCCTTTGCATCACCACTTCCTTCTGGTTTTCTCCAGACTAACTATAATCATGGCTTTAAACCAGCCTGCTACAATCTGGTACCTCCCAGGTATGTTGGCGCTGAACTCTCAACATTTCTCAGTGTTGGCTGAAAAATTTTGGACCATGAAAAACAACACATTTAAAGGGCCCCAAATTGGGGAAGCCTCCTTCAATTTTTCCTTTCTTCTCCATCTCACCCAAAGAGTAAATTTAGCAAACAAGACTTGGCTTTTCTGTAATTTTGCTTGGCGCTTATGAAAGTAAGTGTGTGTGTGTGTGTGTGTGCGCACATGCCACACAACTAAGTCCCAGAGCTGCTGTTAAGGGAATCTTTGCTGGGTTAGGATCTCACTAGTATTTCAGTCTGTTTCTGATTTCAAATCAGGCGTATGGAGCAGGTACCACCGAGTTTTCCCCACATATACAAATCCATGCCAGTTTTTCTTAACCAGCATCAGAAACTCCAAAATGCTAACCTTCATAGCTTTATTTTATTTTTTTATTTATTTTTTCCTGACAGTCAAACTATATCTCTCCCAAATCTTACTCTCTCCTTGAATAACTTTCACTCTGGCCTAATTGTAATGTAGAACTATGAAGACAAAACATGGATGTATGAAAGCACCCAAAGTTAAGCGGAATGCATTGTGAACCAGGGCGGCCATGCTGACAGAGCGCCCTGCACCCTCATTGGCGTGAGAGCCAGACTATATCCACCATGCCTCTAAGTCAGTGCCTCCCCTCACCTTTCCAGTTTTGTGGACCGGTGGGAGGGAGGAGTATCTATGCAAGCGGCAGGTGAACACTCGTGCGCAAATAGAGCTGTGCATGTGCTCACCCGCCACTTCGGTGGCCCGGTTCCAAACAAGCTGAGGCCCAGGGATTGGGGACCCCTGCTCTTAAGTGAAGGGTCTATATAAACAGGAGTGCATTGGAGGTGATGGGGGGGAGAGATGAGTTCTTTATTTGGGAATTCACTATACAACTCGTGAAACATTCAGATTTATCTGATAATGTAAATATTTCTCCTGGTGAGAGTATTTTTGGCAGATGAAGCTGGATGTTTCATGAGGCTGTAAATGGGGGTAGGAGTGAAGATTGGGTTTGGGTACAAGAGTATTTATAAATGAGCAGTAGGAAGGGACTGTGTATCTTTCCTACTAGGAAACAAAGCATATATTCAAGATACCTGTATGTGTGTACATGCAGACATGCTCGTACTGATTTTAAATTTGCCCTGAATTTGGATTTGGCTGTGAGAATCAAAATAGCTCTCTATAACCTTTCCTTCCGTTATTCAGAAGCAGGGAGAAATGTAGGAACCAGTCCATGATTGGCAGCGTGGTTACAGTATATAGTAAAACTGGATTGGCAGCCCTCCAGCTCTTTTCAGCCTTCATCCGTCACCTCAGCTGAAGGTCAAGTGGACAGTCTTTCTTTATAGCCCTGCGCTGTAGCTGCCGCCTGCCTGCCTTTATTTATTTATTTTTTCCTCCCTCGCCCGCTTTCTTCCTAGGTAGGCTCAGCCAGAAAGCTGAGTCCTCCTCTGCTGTAGCTGAGTGCCTCTCCAACTACTCTTCCTCTCTGCCAGAAGCAGATTATCTTCCTAGGATGAGCTCCAGAATTCTAATGCCTGGCATATTATAGCGATAGAAGCAGCTGTAATATCTCTTTTCTCTGCCCGTGTTGCCTTCTTACTTTGTTGCTTTAGTTTCAGATTTGGGGAGATTGGTGGTGTTGGTGGCGGTAGTTCTGTAGTTGAATGGATGGGGGGTGGGGTGGGAGGGAATAACCTGCATAGGTTGTAGGCAGAGCCCTAGTACAGGTAGTCCTTGACTTAACCATAGTTCGTTCAGTGACTGTTTGAAGTTACAACAGAACTGGGGGGGAAAAGTAACTTATGACCAGTGCAGCATTCCCATGGTTACATGATTTACATTCGGATGCTTGATAGCTGGTTCATACTGTATTTTGGATGGTTGCAGCATCCCGCCAGGGCCGTGCGATCACCTTTTGGCAACCTCCTGAACAAGCAAAGTCAGTGGGGGAGCCGGATTTACTTTATAATCGTGTTAGTCATTTAAAAGCTTCAGTGACTCGCTTAACCAACTTCTCATTTAACAATGTAAATTTGAAGCTCCGGTTGTGGCCGTTGAGGACTACCTGTATCTCAGTGCAGGGAAGGGGATACATTGGCCTCCTAATCTGGGTTACTGGCAGGATACAGATTTCAAACTGGACTTCTGGGGAGAAAAAAAATAATGTCTTTTTGTCTGTCAGTCTTTTTTTGGGGGGGGGGGGGGGGGGGACCAAAAGGCGATATCTTTTCGAAGAAGCTTAACATCATTAGAATATTGTCACCTCTCCTACAAGCCCAGCCTGCAAGAGGGAGCTTTGGATGTTCTGTTTCTCAGGAATACCTCTCTACAAAAACGGTTCTTCCACAGGGAGGTTGGCTTTGGGCAGTAACAGAAGCAATAATCTGATTTTTTAAAAAAACATAACGCTGCAGTCTCTGGCCAGTTCTAAATCCCATGTTCTGGCAGGTCCCATTTTTCCCTCCCCGGTAGGATTAATCTGGCCCCGTATTGACTAGCCGGTGGAGTCTCACACCGTGGTTTTTTTTTTTCTCTCTCCAGAGTTGGTGCGGATGGTCCTCAGCGGCTGAAGATGACCTCCAGCTTCTTCTCTGAAACCTTCCTCCAGTTTATCCATCACATGATTGTGCCTTTTTACCTATGTATAAAACTGCTTTTGGTTCCCTCCTCTCCAGCCTCTCGGTTTAGTTCTTGGACAGTTACGGGAGAAAAGAGTGACCCATAAGAAGGGCGCTCCAGAGTAACAGCAAACCCCAGGCTGCCTGGCTTGTATTGCATCACTTGAGAAGTGTGTGGCTGATTCTCCCTCCCAGTTGCTTTAATAAACTGTTCTGGAACTATCTTGTGTCACTTTTGTGCTTTTGGCTGATTGGCTAAGCATCAAACATACCTGGGGTCTATTTGGTTGGAAAGAGAAGTACAGATAAGCCCTCAACTTTTAACAGTTCATTTGGTGACCATTCAAAGTTATAATAGCAATGGCACTTAGACTTATATACTGCTTCACTGTGCTTTACAGCCTCTCTAAGCAGTTTACAGAGTCCGCATATTGCCCCCCCCCCCCCCAACAATCTGGGTCCTCATTTTACCCACCTCAGAAGAATGGAAGGCTGAGTCAACCTTGAGCCTGGTGAGATTTGAACTGCCGAACTCTTGGCAATCAGCAGTCAGCAAAAGTAGCCTGCAATACTGCATTCTAACCACTGCGCCACCATGGCTGAATGCTGCTGAAAAAAAGTAACTTATGACCATTTTTCATACTTATTGTAGCATCCTCACGGTCATGCGATTAAAATTCAGATGCCTGGCAACTAACTCATGACAAGTGTAGTCATGTGATCCCCCTTTTGCGACTTGACAAGCAAAGTTAATGGGGAAGCCAGATTCACTTAACTGTTAATAACTCAACAACTGCAGTGATTCACTTAACTATGGCAAGAAAGGTCACAAAATGGGGCAAAACTCACTTGACGAATGTCTCACTTATCAACAAATGGGCTGAATTGTGATCGTAAATTAAGGACTACCTGTATTCTTGCATCCGCAGTGAATCATTAGAAACAACCTTGCCAAGAGTAGAAACAAGCAATAAAAGGAACGTGCAGGTAACCAAAGCTTTAGGCTTGAGTTCCTGGATCATCTTGCCCATCATTCATTATTCAGCTCGCAAACGGAGCTTATGAAACTGGCTTGGAATTTTGCCTCCCTTATGAGGATTCGTAAACAGTGCAGCCTTTGGTTGACTTCAAAATGTTTTATTTAATAAAACAGGACAAATAGGAAGGAAATAACGAAATACAATGGAACAATAACTAGGGTGTTATTCAGCGCTGTGGCCATTAAAAATGGCTCCCTGCTATAATTGGAAAAAGTCTCCTAGAAGCACATGTAGATGTCGGGGCATTATTCCAGTGTGGCCTTGTGCTAATTCCTTCCTTCTCATCTGTTTTTTATTTGCACAAGCTGCTTTAACATAGGATTTAATTTAATTTATTGCATTTATATGCCGCCCAACTCCCAAGGGACTTCCAAGGATACGTTAGCATAAGGAAAATCTGGCATTAAATCGATGTCCCTTTCAGGCACTAAGCTCCATTGTCCAAGCCAAGGATAGCTTTGCCTTTCTTAAAAGAGAAGGTATTTGTGGCCGAATGAGACAGCTAGTAGCACCTCTTAACAGCACCCGTAGCAGGACCAAATAAAGGCAAGAGCGCTGGAACATGTTGAGCAGGAAGCGGTGCCTGCTGAGGAGGGAGTTCAGTGAGAAAGGAGACGGTAGCAGCTTTGCCTACCCGTTCGTCATCACCACCACCTCTTATGAAAGATTGCCAACTCAATTCTGCAATGCCTTCCTTAAAGCAAAGCAGAAACAACTATTTTCGACATGGATGCTTGCTCTGTGAGTCAGCAGGGAGAACCAGCTAGCATCACAGAAGCAAGCCTATGTTAAGTGGGAGACTGAAACATCACTTACCTCATGAGTCGGAAGCTGCATAGAAGATTCATTTCAAAAAAAAAAATGCCCGCACTTTGATCCTCATCCTGCAGCACTCCACAGAATATTTACATAGAACATTTGGCTACGTGTTCTTTTTCTACATGGCCAGGGGTTAAAAAAAAAAAGGGGGGGGGGGGAAATCCACTTCTGTCAGCTCAGTTATGAAAAAGTATTTGACCCTCAGTACAATTTGCCTGTGTGTGTTCTGCACTTCCATTAACACTCTCTTTACAGTAAGAACCATTTTAGATGCTGTTACCTGTGGATAGTCAAACAGCTGGTTAATGGCAAGTTTTCAAAAGAAAATTAAACATCAGCCTGTTGTGATACTGTTTTTAGGACAGTTTTATGTAATTGGTGCAGTAGCTCTTAGCCATATTAAGATGGATACAGACCATAATTTTCAGAATCCCAATCTGAGGCAACAAATCATCTTGAGTAACAAAATCCTCAGAACAAGAGTGCCCTCTAGAGCATCTGGAATCTACAGAAAACTAAAAAAAAATGTTGCTTACTATTCACACAACCCTTCTTCCAGGTTTATCTTCTCACATTCCCATCACCCATTTATCTTTTGCTTTCTAAATAAGTACTTCATGGAAAATAAAAATTTGTTCGTTTATCTGTTGTTAATAAACTACCGTATAGGCATCCCAAACTGCTTCAAGATCTATCAGTCATAGGCATGTTAAACAAATAATAAAAATGAATCTTTTGAAGGCTCAAATCGAATTGTCTAAGGAAAGAGAGTAGTTTTCATTGTGTCCCTCCCCCCATCATAAAGTCTTGCCTCCCTTAATCATGTCAGATAATCAGGCTCACCATAAGAAATGTTTGCAATCTCAAAAATCTAGCTATGGCAAAGACAAATAGAATAGAATAACAAGAATTGGAAGGGACCTTGGAGGTTTTCTAGTCCAACCCCACTTAAGCAGGAAACCCTATACCACTTCAGACAAATGGTTATCCAACATTGAACATCTGAATGTTTTTCAATAGATTAGAAAAGTATATCCTACTTGTAAAAAGAGTTTGATAGTGGAACCAATGGCCCAGATAAATGGCCTCATTCATTCAACACATTCAAGCAAAGACTGGATACTTATCTCCTGGGAATACTTTAATTTGAATTTCTGCATTAGACAAGGGGTTGACCTCAAATGCTCCTTTTAACTCTCATCAGATTTATCAGAGGTCACTTCCTTCCTTTGCTGACTTTTTTAAAAAACTGCTTTTAATCTTCTACTTTTTCTTTCACAGTTCATCACTGTTTTTGTTAGACAGGGAGTGTACTCTTAATTTTACTCTGAATTAATTTAGCTATTAAGTGGTAAAGTCAAGAGAAAAGACTCTTCTTGCCAAATGTTCAGGTACTCTAGTTTTTAAAACAGCTGTTTTTAAACACGATTCCCTTGTTGTGAACCTTCCAGTATGAAAACTGGTCTAATTTTCAACGAAAATTTGTGTGGTACATTCCAAAGCAAAAGGTGTTCGGTCAAAATTGAGCAAAATTTTTTGGGCAAAATTGTTAGTTTTGTTAGCCAAAGCCAAGAGAAAATAAAGAGGATGCTGCAAAGTTAGAGATTGCACATGAATATTCTCATATGATAGGAAAATACTTGTCCAGCTGCTCCTGGTGACACAAGAATAGGCAGTTCTTATTTAGCACTTCCCCCAATCTATTGTAGCGACACAGTTGCTAAGTGAAACATAGGACAGAAAGAGAGCAGGAAGAGGGCAAGAGGCGACAAATATTGTTAGTTGCTGCCCTTGCATTTAGATACAGTTCTCATACAGCAATGCCAGCGTTACTCAGTTTGGCATGTGTTGTTGTCAGGTCCAGAATTGTATGCACTTTAGTTGAAAAATGACTTTACTGTTTATTACCATTTTGTTTGTGAACAGTGGCTAACTGAGGCAATGATTTAATGAGGACTATCTGTATTTATACATCCCGAGTAGCTTTCTTCACCTAAGAGACTGAACAGAAGCCAATGATTCCTAATCCCTGGGGCATGTCCCATGGCCTCATGGATTCTGCTTCAAAGGCAGGCTATGAAGAAGCCTAGAAAAGGCTGTGCTAAACTTATGTCTCCGAGTTGGCCGGGTTTTGCTGGAGTGCTAAACTGCAATTCATTTTTTTCAAGCTACAATGGTTGAGTTCATAGGCCGCACTAAGCTGTAAGCAAACTATCTTAACATGGCATGCGAACTCAAGTTGCTTTCTTCCAATCACTAATGACTAAAGAAAGGAGGATGAAGGAAAACTACAGTTAGCAGTTCATCACTGAAAAGCTACAGTGCATGCTTTTAGACCAGAGGTGGGAAGTGACGATGGTCCCTTTGTGTCTTGTGGACTTCAAATCCCAGAATTTCTGAGCCAGGAATTCTGGAAGTCGAAGTCCACAAGTCATAAAAGAGCCATCGTCTCCCACCCATCTTAGAGAAACTCTGATTTGTCAATCCATTCATACAATTAACAATTACAGATAACAAACCAGTACTCATTTTGCTTTAGGAACCAAAAGGAAAAAAAAAAATGCTTCGGAAAGCCCTGCTGAAAAGTTAGCACATGGCAAGGCCAACCCAGGGGTGAAGTCCAGCAGGTTCTGGAGAACCGGTAGCGGAAATTTTGAGCAGTTCGAAGAACCGACAAATACCACCTCTGGCTGGCCCCGGAAATGGAGATTTTGCAGTATCCTTCCCCTGCCATGCCCACCAAGCAACACCACGCCCACCAAGCCATGCCCACAGAACCGGTAGTAAAAAAAAATTTGGGTTTCACCACTGTCCCAACCCAAAAGAGATTGCAGATTTCCTGCTAAGAGATGGAAGGTATTTATTATATTTTTCTTTATTTTTATTTTTTTTTTAAAAAAAGAGCGAGAGACACATACAAGGAGTTACACTCCCCTTTCAACAGGTTTAAAATCAAAGCCTTCTATAAATAGTAGTGGCTGTCTGTTCTGGAGATAGATTCTTGCCCCCCTCCCCCACCAATTAGAAACTCCTTAAATAAAAAGTCTTGGTATGACTAGATACAAAAAAAAAAAAAAAAAAAAATGGAAACGGGAGACGGAGCTGAGACACACAGGGGAATGGAAATCAGTGGAGCTGAATTCTCTTCCTCCTTGGATCGTTGTTCTGAACCATTTAAAAACCCACCCAAACAGAATCCATGTTTAACACGATTTGGGGTTTCCTGTCCTTCTGGAAAGGTGAGGGGGCCCATCCAAGAGGCATCCAGAAGAATAGCTCATAGCTTCTCACTGTGAGGGTGGGACTGGCGTAGCTGTGCTGGGGCTGGGAGTGATAGAATCCGGTGGCAGTGAAGGTCCTTGA